AGTATTTACTTGATAAGTTGTCGAGGAAAAATGAGAAGTGTGCCGCGTTTTATTATAAGCATGACATTGATGAGAGCGACCAATTACGACGTGTGTTCTGGGCTGATCCGGTAGCTCATCGCAACCACACGGTGTTTGGCGACATTGTATCCTTCGATGCAACGTACTCGACGAATAGGTACGTTTTAACTTACTTATTTAAGGATGTTGTAACAGGAAAATAAGAATAATCATATACATTCATTGTGCAAATTGGTAACCACCAGTGTTGTTAGCCTCCTATTGACGGGCGTGTTAACAATTTAGTAATACTGAAATATGGTTGTCGTTTTGGATGTGTTGTGTTGTGTGTAACTGAAATAGGTATTCAGGATTGTGGTTCTATGTCAATATTTTTTTAGTTGTTTGAAGTTTGATTGCAGAGTTCGAGTTTTGGCTTGATTTTTTAATTTTTTTTTTTTTTTTTTATTTTATTTTAATATCTTTATTTTTTTTATTTTTGTTTTTGTTGGGGAGATGTGCCTGGGGCTAGTTTCTGGCACTATAATAAATAGTTGTGCAAATTGACTAATAATTGCTACAGCTTTGGAGAAATGATCCTACTCAAGTGTGTTTGGGTAGCAGTGAACTCAATATTTTATTTTTAACAATCTGATTTATCTAGAACTTCATCAAATTTTTTACCTTTAACTTGTCTAAAAGGAAGAGGTAATTTCTTTTTGCAGTTATGTTTTTGGTTATTGAAAACCAGAGATTCTCACACTTTCTCTGTTCAATCTTTGCACACTGACCAGCACCCATTTACTCACAAGCCCCATCAAAATACATAGTAGACAGCACCTCGTAATAGCATGCATGCACCTCTTATTAACTCTGCTCAAATGATCAGGTACAAAATGGTTTTCGTACCCTTCACAGGTATGGATAACCACAAGCGGTGCGTTACTTTTGGTGCGGCGCTGATCACCAAAGAGGATGTCGCGTCATATGTTTGGGTGCTGGAGACTTACAAGGAGGCAATGGGTGATGCCCCATCATGTTTTGTCACAGACCAGGACCCTGCTATGAGGATTGCTCTAGCAGAAGTTTACCCAACTACTCGGCACCGGTTTTGCATGTGGCATATTATGATGAAGGTAGGCGAAAAGGTTGGTCCGGAGTTGTCTAAGGATGGGGTCTTTCGGGGCAAGCTAAATGCTATTGTTTGGGATGAAATTCAACAGCCCGATGTGTTTGAGACTAGGTGGCAAGCGTTGCTTGGTGAGTATGGCTTGTTAGATCATAATTGGTTCACACAGTTGTGGGAGGCACGTCGATATTGGATCCCCGCCTATTTCAAGGATATGATACTCAGTGGGCTAGTTAGAACCACGTCCCGATCCGAGGGCGAGAACAGTTTCTTTGGAAGGTATTTAACCCATACCTCCAGTTTGGTGGAGTTTTACAGTCACTTCGAATCTGCAGTAGATGCACAACGTCAGATCCATACCATGCTAAATGCGGTGTGTGAAGGTCATTTTGCACCGACACAAACGGACTTGAAAATGGAACGTCATGCGTTGGCCGTGTACACCGTCACAATTTTCCACGAGGTCCAAGCTGAAATTTATGCAGGTTGTTATTCGTGTGGGGTAGTGTCCGTTGATGGTGCTGGTGATGTCATCAATTATGGCATAAAAGAGAGTGAAAACCAACAGTTCCAAGTGCACTACAACTCCAGTGACAGTAGCGCAACGTGCACGTGCTCACTTTTCCAGCGGTTAGGATGGTTGTGCCGCCACATTTTCTTAGTTTTCAAAAACAACCACGTAGATAACATCCCATCAAGATACATAGTAGACCGCTGGACTCGCAAGGTTTGTTTGCGCGCGGAGTTTCAGTACGATGGTCTTACTATACAATCAAATGTCAACGACGATGAAAGCAAGACTCAGGAGAACAAAATGTGGGCAGAGATCTTCGCATGTGTGGGGTTGGCGATTACCAGCTCAGAACGTGTTGAACGGTTAACCCAAGTGATCCACCAGCTAAAGGATTCTTTCGTGGGGGAAACCAATGGCCCAGTACAACACAAAAAAAATAATCGAATGATTCAATCATATTGTGGGTCGGAACCGGTTTTGGCAGTGACAGTCAAGCCCCCAAATGTTGCAAAAAACAAAGGTAGTGGAAAGAGGTTCAAAGGGAAAAGGGAGAAAGCCATTGAGCAGTCTTTGAAGGGGGTTAGGAAATGTCACGGGTGTGGCAAATACGGGGGACACAATAGTCGCACTTGTGAAGTTCTTCGAGCAACACGTATTGGGGAGGGGGGGGGGGGGGGGGGTGGAGAAAGCCTTTGAGTAGTCCGGGGACTCGTGATGGCTAATCACAGCTGATGGTGTTGTTAGTTGAATAGTCACTAGCAATATAATTTTTTTTGCATGGGTGCTTATCACTATCAGAAATCATTGTGCCCCTATTTTAAATTGCAATACACTATGAACCTCGGTTACTAATGCAATAAATAAATGTGGGATTTGTACCTCGTCCCGTGTGTCCTCTTTTTTTTTTCCATTTTTATTATTTTTATTATTATTATTTAGTTGGATGAAGGAAGCAATGTAGAAGCATGGATCCACTTGCACTGCAAAACAATCCCCTCATTTAGACGCCCATGTAGACCCCCCAGTGGACATGAAATAATAGATGACACCACATATGATGCTTCATTTTTGTTTCTTCAAGCATTCCGACTTTCAGACATGGAATGAGTTGGGGCCCGGGACCTGAGGCAGATTAAGTCAAAAGAAAATTGTTGCCACAGAAATATTAGCCACGCAATAGCCAATGCATGCGTATATGGTTTCTTATTTACTACTAATGCTTGTGCCGTATATGTTGTAGTAATGCACAAACCACACCTCAAGGTTAAGATTTTATTAATTTACTAGTACGGCGTGTGCCGTGTATGTGGTAGTAATGCACAAAATACATATCAAGTTTGAGATTTCAAGTTTAACTCTTTACATTTCATTTCTTCGGTGCAATTAAAATAAGGCAAAACCTTTAGGCAAAGTGTCAGACCCTCCGCACCGACTTTACTTAACATTAAAAATGAGTCAAATTAATGCTTAGTAGCCTTTTAAGTGTCTATAATGAGCCATATTAATTCCACGGGCAGCTAAGATGTTTATCAATATTTAATCATGTGTTATTGAATGCAATAAGCTAAATGTTGGTGCATGCTTGTGATTAGTACTGGGCAAGCAGTGAAAACACTACCGTGCACGTTAACAGATCTTATCATTAAAACACACATTATTAAAATTTAATTGTACGCTAGGCCGGTGCACGCCAAACTCGATCTACTCAAAGACGAGAGTGAGTGTGTGTACATATTATTAGATCGAAAGTCAATATAGCAAATTTGCAAACACGTCACCAATATAATGCGACAAATTGAACATGCATGCAATTTAATTAAAAACTACTGCTACTTATTTCAAAGCAAGGCAATAGGGGCCACCTAAGAATATATTACAGCTAGCTTAATTACATGCAGCCTCCAAGCCACCATTTATCATATCGCAATCTTTTTACCCTTTTTTTTTTGCCTTTTAGCTTTCCAAAGTCAATATTTATGTAGTGCTTAATCAGAGTAGATTCAACTTTACTTTTGACGTCTAATAAATAACATGACAACCCACCCAGTTTGAGCAGCACAGTGCAATTAGCCAGGCGTAGGGATGCTTAACTTGTGCAACTCATAACTACGAGTAGGCAACACTATGTCAATACTAGGAAGAAAACAACCCACTCGATTAATTAACAATTCAAAAAAAATCATAAAGAGGCAGGACATGGAAAATAACATTATTAAGCTGGCAAAATGTATAGCCACTTATTATGCAGGGATCCAAAACTAGGCATCTCATTGCGGAACGCTTTCACCTCCAACCGACACATCAGTGTCGCCATCATTTGTTCCGGCGAATGTATGCTTTGGTACGTACAACAATAGCTTCCCGGTGCCCATTGATTTCGGACAACAATATGTCGTGCAATTATCTCTGGCGCAACTTGCGGAGCTCATTCCGGTCACCCTTTTGCAAGCCACACTCCCAATCCTTGCACTTCTCGCCCATGTACGCCTCCATGTGTCTCATTGTGTAAACTCCGCAATCTTCTTTGTGCTTACTATCTCGCCACGGCATCTGCATCCGTATAGCCCTCATATTGTCAACAAAGGCTGACCGTAACCCCTGGCGTTTGTTATGAAGATATGCTGATAGCATATCGAGCTGGCAGGGAAACAAAACGTGAATTCAGTACACCAAAAGCAATAAAACCCATCATATCTATCCATACGGTCAAGCCGTGCATCGTCGGGGAACAAATAAAAACCAAATTACAAAATCAAGGGAAAAAACACATAACAAAACAACAGCTAATCAGACCAGATATCACCATTCCCACCAACCATAACTCAAAACAAATTCACTCAATCACCACGGTGGAAGCCACGGTCAAAATCACACCGTAGGTAATCACGACTCCAGCCACCCCCCTCACCCCTAGCCAAAATCACACCATAGGTAGTTTCATTGCATACTAGTCTGATAATTCAACCTGTAATTAATAGTGCTATAACACACACACAAATGGCATTGCAACCCAAGCTAACCAACTCTCCATCAATACACTTACCAATTCCTGTGGGATGGCGCCATATCTATCCTCGTTTTTACCAGCTACCGGGGAGTTGTCAATGATTTCAAACCTCCGCTTTCGCATGTTGATACACAGGACGTAATAGTGAGCTGCTTTCAGAATGGGGAAGAAAAACTGCACTCAAACATTATAATTCGTCAAACGCAAATGATTGGCCACTTACTTAAAATTCAAACAAACAATGTGTTAGTAACTGGTTACTTTACCAGGTCTACAGTGGCGCAGTCAATATGTGGTGCACGCTCAAACACCTTATCCAGCCGTTCAGTAAACCACCCCAAGCGTACATCCTAGTCACCCGTGGCGAAAATAACACTGCTCAACTATTCAATGTGTGGCAGGGGAAACAAAGAGCCATAGATAGTTAGGTAACATATATAATGCTTTAAGAAAGGGTCGTACATCACATACCAAAGTGTATATCGTAACAAACACTCTACTAGGGGCGTCCGGCTTTCTACCCTTCTCCAACTCATTCAAAACACACGTCCAACAGTCCACCACTGGCATGCGTACTGCATTGTCGAATTGTAAAGACATGAAGTCTTTCAACTGCACATGCCTCCCGTTATACGAAAAAACCTCCTCGGTGCTGCAAAGTGTTTTTAAAAGCACACAAAAAAAAGTGTTCAGTGTTATAGCCATGCAATGTATGTAGAAAGTAGAATAACGCAAATGGTACTAACTAGTTTCGGTCTTGATGGTGAAAGAACCATTGCCACAGAGAGAACCGGTCGGGATCGGGAATTGCAGCAACCGCCGTCTGTCCCCTAGGATACCTATTCAATAAGTTCAAACCCCCCAAAGACTCAGCACCTGACCTTGCATCACAACGCAATTCCTTGAAAGGCGCCCTCGGTGCCGATCCACCAATACAAATAGGTAATGCATCGCTGTTGGTGTGTTTTCCCTGTGAGATGTCACCACCAAAACCAAGACTAATTAATAATGACTCACATAAAGGATACTGCAACAACAGTTTAGTACCTGGACTATTGGCTCACTATTCTCCGGACAAATCACGCGCCTCCCATGCGTTGGAGGGGTAACACCGTTTGGGTCCTGCTATGTTCCAACCGTTTATCAATCCACGGCTAGCACCACAGACAAAAAGAATTCTGGAAATCTAACACACTGACCTCGATTTTATTGTCACCACGTGCATCGCCGACCACACCACCCAATTCACCCCCACTAGATGATATATCTAAACTGCCAGCATTCTCACCCCCTGTGCATTCTGGTGGATTCTGGATTAAGACACCCAACTGTGGCCCCCCAAACTCTTGTGTCAAGCCTAAACTAAAGCTAGGTGGTTCAAACCCCTCCTCAGTTGTCTTGTATCCAACCTCAATCTCATCAGCTACAGCGATAGTCTCCACCCAGAATGCTTCATCGTCTTGTGTGCCGGTCTGTATAGTCAGTGGTTGTTGGCTTCGTCTCATGCCGAACAACTTCTCGGTAGCATCAAGCGCCTCTTTAAAGTGTGGGTTTTCGAACGTCCCATCTGGGGCTTCCTTCGCCATCGCGATCAATTCTTCCACAGTGGAAACTATGAGTTTTGATTTGGCCTTTAAAAGCTCGGAAAACCCCTACAATAAGAGCGAACACAATAATTATTCATAATACAACAACGGCAAATAGGGAAAGGTGCCAACAAAGGCAAAGAAACACAACGAAAACACATCTCCATGTGGAACGAAAATACAAACACAACAAAACACGAGTCTTTGGTAAATTGGTGAGTACTACTACGGGATTGCACAAAGCCCACCAACACAAAGCACTCTACGTCTAATTTGAGCAACAAAACCCCCAGATATAGACCATATGCACTACCGATAGAAACAGTGACAACCGTACATTGTCACACCTCAAACAAACAGGTGTTCGCTCCACCACATATTTTAACAACTAAAACGCTGACCTGTTTTGTACTGCCGCCCAAAGCCTCGTGCTCTTCTATTTCAATCACATCCCGCAACGGTTCAAGCACACAACCAATCCCAAATCCACCCGCTCGAATCTCAGCAGACTCACGCTCCTTCAAAAGCTTTCCAGTCCATCCAATTAAGGCAGGAACACTCCTAGGAATTACCCGAGGGCCCAACGCTACTCTGTCTATGTAGAACAACTGCAAAATCAAAACAAGGGAAAAAATTGGAAAGAATAAATCACATACATAAACCGGCTCGTTTAAGGTAAGTTAATTAAACACAAAAAATGGTAAAAATAGTCTCAGACCAATAGGAATAAGAGTGGCCCCGTAAAACGTTGCATCTTGTCTTCTGCCCAATCATGGTGAGTTTTGACTAACCGTTTAAGCAAGTACCCACACCAGTCTAAGTCCCGTATCTTGTCCACTTCTTCTAGCTGGTGTAAAAACTGCTGGTTGGCGTAACCATTCTGTGTGCTTTCAATTAAAACAGTAGCAACAGCCACGCAAAAGTGACGTTGGAACCAAACCCCACCGTCCTCACAGGTTAGCATCACCTGACATACCTTCTTCAAGGTTATTGTGCTGTCTCGCTTTCCAATTTTGGCCCGCCATTCCCTCAACTCTGGCCCCACTTTTTGACTAGGCCGACACACTACCTCTGTTGACCCTAATGGGAGCCCCAGAACAGCACTAACATCTTCTCTTGTAATTGGTAGAGCTATCTCGCGCTGGACATTTAGTGTGAGCTTGTTAGGGTTGAACACACTAACCAACCAACACCCTAGTCGCAATGGGATCTCATTAACTTCCAAACACAAAATACCGCCCATTCCCATGTCGGATACGGCCTGTCTTTGTTGTACATTGAATTCACTCATAGCACGGATGAGGTCCTTGGGTGTGCATCGGGTGTTAAATGACGGAAACTTAACTTCTTCTAAAGGGGAAAGTTTAGGGACGTGTGTGGTTTCCGTCATGCCCTCGGCTCGCGGGGTGGCTTCAACATCTGAAATCCTAGTTATCTTTCCATCACTACGACCAAGGAGAGCAACGACGCACTCATCGCCCCCAACACCGTCGCACAGTCGTTTAGTCCCTATAACAAAAGTAACCAAAATGCAGAAATGTGAACACAAATAACCATCAGCAGTAAAATCAGCAACGATAGTGACAAGAAAGTATGTGGTGTGTGTGGGGTTAAGAAAAGAAACGTCACCCAAGTGCACACCATATTTCGCACAACCCTATACTCATGCACTGTATTACCCAAAATGTAGTCTACATTTTCATTCATTGTACTGTCCCACTGCATCACGGATCACATAAAGCATGAAATAAAATGGGATAAACATTCACCTAAATTTAGCATTAAAAAAAATTATATACACAGTCGTTGGGAAAAAATGCCACCGATATTAAATTAATAGAAATAATCACACAAGAATAGGTGGGAGCAGTGTTATTATAACCTATGGACATAAGGATGCACCCCGTGCTACATTATCTTTAAACGATATGTGCAGCTTAGGGACCAAGACTCATCCGTAGTGGTGCCATCAAAACCCGTTCGACATCAACACTGCACACCTATACGAAACCCAGGTTTTTAATGGGTGTTTACTATTTGAATTTATGGCAGATATTTTTGTAGTAGCAGGTCAAATGCATCTATCTATACACAACACATTGAGTTCATATATGTGTTATATAAAAACTAAGATCCATTATCACAACAACACACGCAATCCACCACACAGCCACAACTATTTATTATAGTGCCAAAAACTAGCCCCAGGCACATCTCCCCAACAAAAACAACAATTAAAAAATAAAGATATTAAAATAAAAAAAAATAAAAAATAAAAAATAAAAAACCAAGCCAAAACTCGAACTCTGCAATCAAACTTCAAACAACTAAAAAAATATTGACATAGAACCACAATCCTGAATACCTATTTCAGTTACACACAACACAACACATCCAAAACGACAACCATATTTCAGTATTACTAAATTGTTAACACGCCCGTCAATAGGAGGCTAACAACACTGGTGGTTACCAATTTGCACAATGTCCACAGATAAAAACAGGGCAATACACACAACCATTGTTTAAACTGACGCTGATTTCTATCTGTAATCAGCCTCCAGACTAAGAGACCAGAACCAAAAATCTCTTAAAACACTTCCACTACTATACAAAATTACACAACCCCCGAGTTGAGGCCCGAAAATATGGGAAGATTGAAGAGGGAAACGACTTACCTGGGACGGAAGATCCGCCGGCGGTACTGGTGACCGGAGTCCGCTTACGGTTGAGGGCCAACATTGCGGCAAGTCGAATACAACACACCACCGGCCAATGTTGTTTCTCGATGTCGGTCTTCGGACGACAACTATCGAAAGCCCCCGGCTCACAAACGACGGAAATAAGGGATTTTGTACTGTCGACATTGGACTGATGGCGGATGACCGATGGGAAATAACGCCCACAGGGGAATCTTTGCAATTAAAGGCTCATTACTCAATATCGCGCATGATCCTTAAAAAAAAAAGATAAGATTACGCAAATAACCCGGTGCAAATATTCACCTACCAAAACCAGCGAGAGAATCCCACAAAATATGGGATTGCACAGCCACAACCCCAACCGTGCACAACCTAATGATCTAACGGTGTAAATCTGACCTCACAACCACACCTAACACTTTGTACTCACCTGATTAATAACCTATATATATATATATATATATATATATATATATATATATATATATATATATATATATATATGTGTGTGTGTGTGTGTGTGTGTGTGTGTGTGTGTGTGTGTGTGTGTGTGTGTGTGTGTGTGTGTGTGTGTGTGTGTGTTAAATATTTAAAAAGTGACTAAAACTATGTTGATGTCAAGGATTCAAACCCTTGATCTTTACTATTAGTAAACATATGTTCTACCAACTAATCTAACTTATTTCTTATTTACATTAGTAGTTTTTTTTAATACTAATACTAAATCCTGTATTATATATACATACAAAGATTATATATGAGGTGGGGGTGGGGTGAGGGGGGACATCTGCCCCTGCCCCCTGCCCCCTTTGGCTCCGTCCATAACTTCACGGGAACTTGACCTCATATATATATATATATATATATATATATATATACCTTTTGTCAAATGTAACATTGAACTGAACTGAATACCGTTTGATTTTTATTAAAAAATATAATAATAATAATAAATAAATAACAAGTAAATCTAAGTCTCTTGCGGCTTGCTCTGCTGTTCAACTCATATTCTCACGGGTATCTCTTGTAAATGTTTTATTTGATTTCTTTATGGTTTGTTATCAAAAGTTCTATATTATGTGTTATGATGTTTATATAGTCCATATCCAAAGTCTAATATATAACAAAATAACAATCCAAAGTTCAAACAGTATTCAGTTCGGTTTGATTTTACCGAACAATTCAGTTCGGTTCGAGTTTTTAACGAACCGTTCGGTATACAAGAATCTATTACCGTTCGATTGTTTGGTATATTACCGAATCTAACTAGTTTGGTACGGTTCGATTCGAGAAAACTGAACCAAATTGCCACCCTTAAAATTAATTACCAAAATGGTCCCTTGACTATAACGAATTACCAATTTGGTCCCAAGTTAACGGTTGACTAACGGTCAAACAAACGGAAGACCAAATTGGTTAAAATTTTTAAAATTGAGAGACTTAATTAGTAAAAAAAAATAGTCAAGAACCAAATTGATAATTTCGCTATAGTCAAGGGACCATTTCGATAATTAACTCTTATTATTGTACTCCTTCTCTCTCCATATATATTACTTCATTCGGCTTCCTTACTCGCTCTCTCTCGCCTTCAATTTCTTCTCATCTCTCCCGGAGCTTACCTGTGTGTATTCGGGTCGGATCATCATTATCTTCTGCTATTTACTCGGCTGGCACTGATATAATTCATAATTTCAGTATTTTTCTTATGAACTGCTGAAAAAAAAAAGTTGAGACTTTTGCTAGGATCGTCGATCGGGAGGTCTTGATTTGTGTGTGTCCTGAGCTTCGAGGGGAAGCTTTTCGCGATTCAGGTATGGTGTGCACGAAATGCATTTATTCTGGGCGATTCTTCATCTCTTCAGCTTAGTTTCTGTGAAAGAAAGAGAGGAATGAACTTTGATGTTGATGTTGATGATGATGATGATAGTCTCCTTTAACTTTCTGTATTGATGTTTTGGTCTTTGATCAATCAATTGTGTAGAGTTAAATTGCGCTATAGGGCTAACTGAAAGAAGATCGATGTTATAGCAGCGAAGTTCGTGTCTGTTAAGCTATCCATAATCGTTATGTACTAATTTTAATCTTTCTTGCAAACATTCAATTATGCAATCTAATTGTCTGTGTAAAAACCATTAGATATTAGTTGTGCACAATTTTTCTACTGTTGTTTTTCTGCAGAGGCTTCAGTAAGTACTCTTTTTTTTTTTTTTTTTTTTTTTTTTTTTTTTTTTTTTTTTTTTTTTTTAATGTAGTAGAAAGGTCACTAAGCTTGCATCTGCAATAAGGATGTTGTATCCACTAGGTTGGAGTCTATATAGAGTATTAATTGTTTCTTATTCCCAATATATTTTTGGTCTTGCAGATATATATTTCTATTGCATGGCAAATGGAATAACGAAATGCTCAATAAATGTTTTATAACAAAGTATGAATTCTCTATATAATCAGAGTGTGTGTGTCTATAAATATTTGGTGTGTTTTATACAATAACGGAAATTTGATAATGATCCATTTATTGTCTCATTGATAGTAAAGGGAGGTAAAATGAATTCTCTACAAGGACCAGTTGTTTGCCCGGTGGTTCATGCTAAGCGTACGGGTCCATACTCTGTTCCTATCAATTCACTCTTGGTGAAGGCTTCTAAAATTCTTAGAAGTGAGTTCTGGAAGCTTGATGGGATCCACTGTAGGCAGGCTCATTTTCCTCTGCAACCACATTCGCGAATAAGCAAGTTGATTGCGTGCAGCTTCAGCTCATCATCAAATGACAATGGCAGCAGGGCAGAGAACTTTAATGAGAATGATGCAGATTATGTTAATTCTAGTGTGGTTGAAGCTGGTATGCTAATTTACACAATGGTTTTGATTGACTAGTTTGCATTTAAGGCGTTGGGTTTTCATATTTCCTCAGAATTGATATTGGTGATCGAGTTATCTCATCTTCGCAAGCGGTGACGCTTGAGTATCAGGCATTGCTAATTATGGCTTTCTATTGTTATGTTTAGTGGAAGTGAGGAGCAGCCCGGATGGTTTCATGATCAAGATGAGAGATGGTAGGGAATTGAGATGTGTCCATAACAACCCTCAGAGTGGTCATCTTCCTGATTATGTTCCACATGCAGCAATAGTATTGAGAATGGAAGATGAGATTGGTCTTCTTCTCCCCATCATTGTTCGTATGTCTATATCTCATTTGTTGCTTTGTGAGATATATTTTTGAGCAGAAATGATTAAATCTTCTTGATTTGACTCATTACATTATCTATTATAGTGGAGATGTCAAGTATGCTGCTCTTGGAAGCCATATGTGATGTTCAAATTGTATGTCTTGCATTAGTATTTCTGAAATCCTTTTAAACCCAAACTTATTAGTATCCTGATTCCAGTTGTAGTTACTGAAACCAACAAATATTGCCTTCTTTCAGGCCCGACCAACAGTGTACCAAGTGGTGAAGGACATGATTGAGAAGATGGGCTATGGAGTGAGTTTTTTTATTTACTTTTTTTTTTTTTTTTTTTTGTGGATCCATGATGCCATGATCTCTTATTCATGGTGTGATTATGATATTAATCTGCTTTTTACAAAGGTAAAACTTGTTCGCATTACAAAGCGGGTACATGAAGCATATTTTGCTCGATTATACCTCACCAAGGTATAACTCATTGTTGGCATTTTGCTTTGTGTTTAAGATCCCAGTCTATTTTGTTTGAGTATTTATCGTCTGGCATGTGGTTGTGGTAGCAGTTGGATAACGAATGTGAGAGTATAAGCTTTGACCTTCGACCTTCTGATGCAATCAACATTGCTGTGAGATGCAAGGTAATTATTTCCTTTTATGGTTCTTTTAAAGGCAGCTGATTCTCATAGTTTGGAGTGGTTATACAATGTTTATTATGTTGTCCAAGAGGTGAACATATATAGTAGTTTTCTCATAACTACGTTGTGTCTATACTATCCTAAGCTTTTTTTCTTATTTTAGTATCAATATATGAAAGCTCAAAGAAATCATCACCATAATGTTATGTGGACTGAGCTGAAATAATACATTTATGAAATTTTGATCAGTCTAGATCAACTTCTAAGTCCAGTGGAACTGTGTATTAAATTCTCTAGGTTCCAATACAAGTCAACAAGCACTTGGCATTTAGTGACGGCATGAGGATAACTGAATCTGCAAAGCCATTGATGCTGGGCTCTTCAGACGGGTTACTGCTGACTGGGCTGGACAGGTGCAGTTAGCTTGTTGTCTCATAAAGCATGGTTCTCTTTTCTCACTCAGTTTGTTGCAATAGATATATTATGTATTGCATTGTGGGAAACCAACAGCTGGGGGTCATTACTATCTGATCTTAAGTCTTGACTGCATAAAATTATTAGATTAATGCCCGATTATGCCTGTCAAAGGGGAAAGAACAGTTTTTAACGTGTGCCTGTTATGAATTCAGACCAACTGGCCAGCCATGCATTGAGGCAGAGGAGTTTATTCTTTTGCGCAACATGCTAATTGCTGCAGCAGAGGAACGCTATAAAGATGCAGGTTACTTTCTTATCTCCTCTAGAACATATAATTGCATCTCATCCCTTCAATGATTCTTGGTTTTGAACCTCCATATAGTGTTTGCTTCTTATAGTGAATTGTTTTTATAGCCCTTATGAAAACAAAGGAGGTATATTAATTTTCGCTTTCATGACATTTTATTATCTGATAAAATAAAGATTTAAATACATGTTTCAATGTTGCAAAGTCTTCCTTGAATAGGGGCAAAATAAACACCTAATGAAAGAGTTCTTTTGCATACTGTATTGGTATTTGCACCCTGTGGGTGAAGTGAGACTAATCCAATTGAGTCTCGGTCAGTCTTCATTTGGGGCAGCTATCCCAAGAGTGTTACCCTTTGGAAACCCGCCCCCTCTCCCAGCTGGAGGGCAGGGGTTAAGACTTAAGAGTCATCACTTTCTTTGTCATGCCACGTGATTCTTCAATCTTCAGTAGCTTTGCAAATTTCCACCTTCATTATCAGACAACTAGTTGATATGATCTGTGAAAACTATTGAAGTCTTATCACTTGTTGGTCTGCAGCTCTGTGGAGGGACAAGCTCACTCAACTTCGTTCGAAGAGAAACTGGACATAGCAGGTACGAGGTTTGTTCTTCTCTGACTGTTCATAGACCTACGGAAAATGCAACAATCTTTCTCTTCCATTTTGAGCACTTACTGGTAACTGTCCTCTTGTTTTAGGGAGAAATTCATTTGATAAAGCAAACTGTAACCATAACTGCAGCAGGATGAAGATGAATTGTGTGTACATAGGTGAAGACATTTGTGGGATGGATGTGCAATTTGGCTACTTCAGTCATCAACCATGTCTCTGTATAAATATGTAAACCATGTGAATGTATATATGACTGTGTGTGTGTGTGTGTGTTTGTATAGGTTGGCTGTAATTATATTCTATGTAATAATTCCTTAAAATCCCATAATTAAAAAAATTCAGCAGGTCTTCAACCAATCAATCAAGACTGAAGAGACGTGTAACCTTAACACCGAGTTCTTCCTCACACTAGGTATACTTAGTTGTTATTTAAGGATTTCTTAACACTCATTTGGATTAATGTTACATATGGAACTTCTCCCAAAAGTTGAATTCTAATCCCAAGAGCTCCCTAAATCCCGGCCCAACAAAGCATTTCGGAGGATGTAAATCACGGAAATTCGATGTCTTAGCAGACAGGGTCATTTGCCCACTACACTATTGTGGCTACAATTGAACCTTGGTCTCTTTTCCTAAATACTTCCTACTGAACCATTAAGCTAAGTCTGTATGAACTATATAAAGGAAACTTATAAGTGACTTTTTCAATGTTGAAAAAATCGCTAGGCGCCTGTGGACCGCCTAGGCGCGATTTTTACACTGAACTTTTTAGCCCCTACAACAAAAATTGTTTTTAGTCATTTTCATTGCCTTTTTCCTATAAGAAAAAGTTTCTGCCAACTCACTTATAGGTGGCAAATTATACTATGAATTATAGACCATATTGTAATGTGAATCACAAATTATAAATGGCAAATTATATTATGGATAATAGATCACATTGCAATGTAAATCATAAATAAATGTACTTTTTAACATATTGAATACTAATTTTTTTTTTTTTAAAAAGAATATTAATTTTTAATGTATAGAAAGTTTGTTTTTTTATAGTATATTTAAAAACAAACCTTCAGTACACAAAAATAATAATAATGTATATTATGTCAGTTGTTTATCGTGTAAAGTGGGATTATAGAAGTTTTGACTGGGGTATTTTTTTAGAAAAAAAATAAATAATAACATTAATGTCTTTTTACAAAAAATTGAGGGACCAAATACATATTCTAAATGCCAAAGCCATCGCCTCCCTCTTCTAATAAAATTTCAATTCCAAGTTGAGATGGAAATGGGCTTTAGCTTGCTGCCTTGTTCCATCATCATATCCAAGGTTTAGGTGGTGGTGTTTTCCTTGTTTTGAAGGTAGATGATGAGGTTCCCCAGTGTTATATCTGCATCATCATTCTTCATAAGCTCTTCAGCAATTTCAGCAGGCGTTACCTTAACCTTCAACACCAACAGCAGCTCTTCAATCTTGTGGTACAACGCATGATCCTCAATCCTAAGGTAATTAGAAGCCAGCACTTTGAATGCAGCGAAAGTGCAGTAGGACATCTGTATGTGCATGTCCATGCGACCCGGGCGCAGCAGCGCGGGATCAAGCCGATCCTTGTGGTTCGTCGTGAACACTATGATTCGCTCGTCTCCGCAGCTCGACCACAACCCATCTATCAGGTTCAACAGTCCCGACAAAGTAATCTGTTCTTTGAATTGGGTATTTACAATCAGCTAATGCTATCAACTAGTTAAACACACTAACTCAATCAGCTAACAACTATTTACCAAACACAAACTTTATTCAATCTGCAACTAACCCTAGCCTAGCCAAATTAGTCGGACATATTACAAGATTTGGCCTGTCTATTTGTCTTTTTGGTTTGAATGGGCCGGCCAATTTCTGTCAATAAGATCACTAGGCACGGGCTTTCTCACCTCATAAACCAAAGATCTTTATTCAATCTATCATCGAATATGTGTATTAGTCTATCATGAATTCGACTAGAATCATGAAGGGCACACCTTCTTGTAAACCAAAGATGTTTATTCCATCTAGAAAAATTACATATATAGTCTCAATGTTAGGATATTCAATCCTGAATTAGTTGTGTATACTTTAGTCATTTTCATTAACATCCTAGTGGATTAAGACAGGAAATCAATAAATACTTAAATGACAACCTAACAGGATAAAAATGAAAATTTTGATTTCATTTTCTTCGTATGAAATTGACATTTCAAGTGTACTCCCTTAAAAAAAGTGTACTAAATTTATTTAACAAATTTCAAATTCTAGCTAAAACTCGACAAGAAATAGACACGCTAGCTAGAACTGAGTCGATATTCCATTCATGGTATATTGACCATTTTGGTATGTAAAATGCAATGAAATATGATATGAAGTTTAACATAGGGAAAATGGCACTTTTTCCCTGAGTTATATACTTATAGCATTTTTTCCCTTTAAGTTATTGAAGTGGCTGTTTTTCTCCCTGAAATGTTAAATAGACATATTTACCCTTAAACTAAATATTTAATTTATTTTTTTCTCCAACAAATTATGACCATAATTTGGTTCAAACTAAACAAACACTATAGCAACCAAACCGAAATATTTCAATTACAATTTAGAATCGAAATTCGATATTTAGAGTTTATTAAAATCGTGAACCGGAACGGACGGTTCATGTTCCGAAAAAAAAAAATGCATTTATTGTTGAATTTAGACTATTTTAAAATAAAAAATAAAATTTTAAAATAAAGACGGTTCAAAACCACGAATCAAATCCGGAACCGCCGGTTCACGGTTCAAGATTCAATTTGTTGATACGGTTCAAGATTCAATTTTTTGATACATAATTTTAATAAATTGACATTTAAATATTGGGTTCTAGATCTGAATTATAACCGTAAACTATTAATTCGATTGCTTTAGTATCCGGTTCAATTCAAATCGAACCGTGGTCATCCCTACGTATACGCAATAATTTGTTGGAGTAATAAAATAAATAAAATGTTTACTTTAAAGGTATAAATGTCAATTTAATATATCAGGGGAAAAAAGCACCACTTTTAGAATAATTGAGGGGGCTAATGTGCTTACCTAAATAATTGAGGAGGAAAAAGTGCAAATATAACTCAGGGGTGAAAAGTGTCATTTTCCCTTTTAACATATATAGAAAGCTATGAAGATGATAGCTGACCTTATCGTTGCCGGTGGTTTGGTTTTCTGATTCTCGGCTATGCAGGACAGCATTGCAGTCAATATCTTCAATCACGAGGATGGAGCGATTTGCAGAACCGATGAGCAACCTTCTCAAATCCGAGTTGCAATCAATCTCTCTCAGATCGAGGTCGTAGATATCAAAATTGAGGTAATTAGCCATGGCGGCAACCAAGCTTGATTTTCCAGTACCAGGAGGGCCGTAGAGCAAGTATCCTCTCTTCCAGGCTCTGCCGACTCTCCTGTAATAATCCTTTCTGCTTATAAACCTATCGAGATCATCGATTACCTCCTTCTTCACCTCCGGCGCCATCGCCATTGTACTGAAATTCGCCGGATGGTTGAGCACAAGGGAGGTCCAATTTCCGCCGTACTCGACCGTGTGAAGCCTCACCGCGCGGCTATGATCCTTGATCTCCTTCGCTTTCCTCAGGATGTATGGGAGGTAAGCCCTAAGCACAATGTCTTTGTACTTGTAGTGAAAGCTCAGCTCGAAATGTCTTTGCTCTGTTTTCGAGTTGCCGTTGCGATCTCCTTTGCCGATCTGTTGGATGGCGGTGGATTTCAGTACCCACACCATCTTCACCTTCCCGTAGAAATCAACGATTTCCTGATTCCTGTCGACGGTGACGATCAGTTCCTCGTCTTTCTCCGGCTTGATCACTTTGATTCTTCGCGTTGCAGGGGAGACCTTTGTTCCCAGGAAGACGTTGGCGGCCTCGAACATGTGGTTTGACGTCAGGCCTTCGGATTCTTCGATCAAGAGGGTGAGCTGTGAAGAGAAGCGGGCGGAGAGCTTGGTAAGGCGGGTGGAGAAGTAGGTGCGTAGTGCGTCGGGGACGAGGTCGGCGGTTACGGATTGGAGGAGCATCACGGAGGCAGCCAGTGAGGCGGCGGCGGTCAGAATTGAGCCGGAGGAAACAGAGAAGCTCGTGATGTCTTTGGGGAACTCCATTTTTTTTTATGGATTCTCTTTCTCGCTGGTTATAGATTGAAATTGCGAGAAGAAACAGCACAAGTAGAAACTTAATAGGGTTTTGCAATTTTGGAGGGGGTTTATGACTTTCGGTTTCTTGGCGGACACGGGACTATATAAATTACAAGGTTCTAGTGTTCTACACTATTACAAGGTTATAGTGTTCTACACTAGACTCCTAGTCATAGTGTGCTGATAATCTGGGCAGTTATGTGTTTAAACTACTCTCTTTGACGTTGATAGGGTTTTTAGAACATTATTATTGATTTTGATTATCCCATTAATTATAAAACTCATTCTCTAATAAAATAATAGTACGTTTGGTTCACAGAATAAATTTTGAGGTAATAGGAATAAACTTTAAGAATTATATTAAGTGTTTGGTTGGTTTAAGGAATAGAATAAAATATGTTTCAAAAGACATAAATACCCTTATAAAAATATATGGTAGCGGTGGTGGTGGTGTTGGCGGTGGCGGCAGCGGTGATAGTACTAAAGCTATTCCCAAATACTTGGGAATAGCTAGAGAGTCCCCTAGGAATGACTATTCTCCCTGCAAAGGGAATAGCTCATTCCCGGGAATGCTATTATCTTGAATAAAATGACAAAACAAACAATGAAATAGGTCTATTCCCAGGAACGGTATTCCATTCCCAACCTATTTTATGAACCAAAACACGTCATAAGAGTTTTATTCCATTATTCCTTCTCATACATCATCAAACAACAATATTGATAATTATTCACATTCAACTCTACTACCAAATATACCCTAACTCTTTCTTTATTAATTTCATTAATTCCTAAATATATATAATTTTATATACTAATATTAAATTTAATAGTATTAAAAAAATTAAATTATAAACAATTTCAATAAGTTTTGTTAATCGAACCAGACACATAATAAGGTTGAGAAAATAATTTTTAGTTATTCAGTTATTTTTCAACATGAACCCTATGTAACCCATATGTAAGGCTCAATTTCTAATCATATTTAAACTAATTTTAGTGAAGACATCAAAGCTGCTAGCAACAGTGGAACTTCATCTCAACATGAAGTAACAGCAACAGAGTGTATGAAATGCATTTGTAATGCCATTCGTTTTTAACCCAAAAGAATTCGATGATCACAACATCAGAGACATCAAATGTTATTGTGTCACCACCAAATTGTAATCAATGGCAGTGTCAACGCAGTAATTTTAGTCAATAATAGCTTCCAAGTCATCAAAAGAGGAAGAAGACAAAAATGCTAGAAGACAAAATGTAAGGAGAATTGGAGAAAGAGATAAAGACACCTAGTAGTTATCTTATTGTACTAGTGTGTACTTAGTTTGAAGACTTTTCATGTAGTAGTTATCTTATTATTGTACTAGTGTGTACCTAGTTTGAAAACTTTTCATGTAGTAGTTATCTTATTGTACCTAGCTTGAAGACTTTTTTTGTAGTAGCTATCACTTAGGAGTTGTAAAAATCTTGTAAGTTTTCTATATAAGGAGCCTCTTTGTTTAATAAAAGTATCAGAACAGTTTGAGATAAGATAAGCTATAAGTTGAGTTCCTTTCTTATTTGTATATCTTTTTGCCTAATTTCTTCTTCTTTTATTGTTAGTCTATTATTTAAACTATTTATTTTGTCTGAAGCTTTAATTATTTGAGTATCTCTTTGTAATATTTCTTCCTGTCTTTATTTTATTATTTCTAAACTTATTCTACAACTTATAATATGTTGATTAATATCTCTATTATACTCCAATGGTTTTGCTGCTATATATTCTATTGTGTCACCACCAAATTGTAATCAATGGCAGTATCAATATAATGCAGTAATTTTAGTCAAGAATAGCTTCCAAGTAGAACACCGTGGGGCACAATGGATCTAAAGAAGAAATACTTAATTATATAATATGAAGATGAATGCCAGCACCAAAGAATGGTGGCACGATGATAGATTGAGGTCACAAATAGTCAAATAGCCATAGATGGGAGACTTGTAAACTGATATATATATATATATATATATATATATATATATATATATATATAAAAGGAACTTTGATCATAAGATGTTACAGCGACTATAGTAATCATCACTCATCACGTACCAGACATGGCATCTCTGGCATGTACTGGGAAGAGAACAAGTAACATCTTTTTTCACTTCTTTCTTGTCGTCCTTCTTCTCATTCTTCTCATCCTTCTTCTCATCTTTCTTCTTTTCTGGCTCGGGAGCACCTATACTTGTTATCTGTGCAGACTTTCTGAATTTCCTAACCTGTTTGATGATACATACTGGATCAGCCTCGCCAATCACTGTCACTGTACTTTTGGCAGCATCAAGGACAATGGAGTTTATCCCTTCTATTCTTGATATTAACTTCATCACCTTCAACCTACACTTTGAACAGCGAAGATCCACTGACACCACTGTTTTCTGCAACAAAATTTACAAACAGAAAGTCAGTTTCCTTGGTCCTTTCCGCATTTAAATGAACTGCAGGTGTACTGCAGGCTGTCAGTAAGGAACCAGAAGTAAGTAATATGCTAGAACCTTTAAAAGAAGTGACATGTCAAAAGCAAAGAATGTCCAAGAAACTGCTGTATTATGTTTGCTTTATGTTGGTCTGTCTCAGTTATACTCATGGTAAATTAACCATCTATCTTAAGTACTAGTTTGTTCTCTCTAGAATCCTTTTAACAGTCTGGCACGACACTTAAATGGAATGTCAGTGGTAGTTGGTGAATAGAAGTAAATGCATTGTCTGAATTTTATTCATGGGATCACCTATGGCTACCGTCTATATTTATTAGGTTTTGTCTCCCTCCTTGCCCCCATTCTGTTCTCTCCAGCCCCCACCTATCACAATTTCCCAGCAAGTAGATTGTGCATTTGTCTTTACTTGCAATCGGAAACTTCACTTGCATAGATCACTTATTTTACATTAAAATATCTTTTGCCAACAAGATGTATATTCCTCAGCTTAATAACAAAGATGTAATTTCATATAAAGTTTTAAAGCAAAACCAAAGTGACTATCTGATTTTATTGTGAACCATCGGACTCTTCCAGCTATATCCCAAAAAAATAAAAATGAAAACTGCAATTATGGAGTAACTTTTTACCTTGTGACAGAAGGCCTACCAAATAGATTATACTTCTTGGTTAATAATTCCACTATACATTCTAACTGCATCTTCAAATCTTCATTAAATTTTAGATGCGTGTTTATGCACAACAGTTCATAAATGAGCTAAAAAGTGAAGAACATCCTACTATTTGGGAGTTCATACCAGAGAGTCCCATGATAAACAACAAATACCCTCTCTTGACCTTCTCTCTCTGAATTCCTTTGAATTTAATTTTGGAAGGAAGCAAACAACTGTAAGTATATTACAGTAAACCACAGACCAATTAAGTACTCTAATTGAGAATGGATTGGCATAATGGAGTTTATTCTTGGACTAGAAAGTTTCAACCAAATGGAACCCCAAATCTAACTGTATAAAATAAATAGCTGATGTAGTCTAGGGATGGAAAGTCACTAAAGTAGTTGAGAGATCACTTTCCATAGATCAGACCCTTTCCCCTACCAATAAAACTTCAATTAACAAACACAAACAGGAAGAATTAGAGAAATCATCTAGGTTATTACAGAATATGCTCCAAAAATTTCAATCACTTACCAGAATTATCATCTGCGTGCACAGAATCTTCTGCAGTATTGAATTAATCTGATCGCGTCATTCCCTTTCTTGAATTTACCATCTCCCTTTCCTGAATTTACCATTGTTAAATAACTGCTGACTATCTTCTTGTCCAACTCATAGTAGAATTCCATCTTTTTCAAAGGTTTCAGGTCCAGGTCAATGAAAGATGCCTAACAATTTGCGGCAATAAAGATCATCAATCAATACAACAATAAAAGGTACTATACAGGCATAATTCCAAAAGGGCAACATGATGAAGTGGGCGATCACAATTATTTTCTAACACATTAAGCAGCATGAACAAAGTCTACTATGAATGTGTGACAAGAAAGAAAACTCAAATGAACAAACCACTACATACAGAAATGATGCAAACACCATGGCACCAGAAAACCTGTGAAGCCAATACCATTTTACTTAAAAAGTTCTTTCAGAGAATGAAGTCAACCTGTAGGTTGCTGCATATCTTCAAAAGTGCAATCTTTTTCATCTTTGGTAGTCTTGATAGATTAATTGATATATATATATATATATATATATATATATATATATATATATATCTGCTCCATCCTGTTGGATTTGCTATTCCTTGGGTAATGCAATTATTTGCTAACTCTCTACCCTCAAATATTAAGACTAGACTAAAAAGTAGAGCCGTCAAAATGGACTTTGCTTGTTGGGCCAGCCCGTCCCATCCCCTATATAGGTAGGCCGGTAGGTGGTGGGTTTCAATTTTAGTGGCCCGCCGAAGTGCGGGCCTAGGTGGGGCGGGTGGGCCCGCCTAGAGTACATGTTTTAATAGAAATACATAATATATTATTATGTATAATGGTTATTGAATATTGGGCTAACTTGGTTGGTAATAAGTATCATGTTATTCTAGGAGGTCTAGGGATTGAATCTCATCAAGTGTATATTTTTGCACCCAAAAAGAAAGGGAAAAAAAAAAAGAGTAAAGGCGAGCAGGGCTAGGGAACAGAGGCCCATCCCGCCAGCCCGTATTTACAGGTGAAAAATACTATGTTTCAGTTATAGGGCATAGTGAAATAGTTGGGTTTCTAGAATCTTGATGAGAAAAGTTTACAAATCCTGTTTCAAGCAAAATTTATAAAATCCAAATAGCAGATGAGAAAAATGGTATACCTTGTAATCAAAAGTTTGGTTGGTGGATTTTAAGGAGACAAGACCATATGAAGACTCGCTTTTCCCATCTTCTCGAGATCTGAAACTAATCATCATACTCAAGTCCTTTGCAGTAGCAGCTATTAAATAGTCCCTCAATATCTTCCAACTTTCTTCCATTGAAATAGAATGCAGGGTGTTAAACCTTTTTGATAAGCCACTGCCTAAATCTTTGCATACCACACAGGGCTGAGAAATAACATTATAATACACATGAATTGCACCCTCGATGTCAAAAGTATCAAGCTTCTGAACTTCAAGAAGGCGATTTAGTAATCCTGAACTGAAAACTGCCTCAGAAATGAGCTCAAGAAAATAATTTGTACGCATCCCTTCTTTTGCAAAAATTATATTCTTGAGTGCATCTTCAAATGCCTGGCCAGCTTTAGAATTTGTAGGTTCTGCACCACCACCCAAGCCCCCAAATATGAGACAACCATTCACAAAAACTCGAAAGTTATTCTGTGGGGTCATAAAAAGATCCTTGATTGCTTTGTCTAATCTGTCTTTAGACCCAGAAAACATATCAAGTGGATCATATGCACTTATATATGATATCTGAAAAGGATGGTAAAAGACACAAATCATGAGAAAGCATTGATTTAAAGAGGTGGGCAGCATGATTAAAACTAACTAATGGACTTGAGATGGCCAACTGAGAAAAGGTGCCGATCATATATCCTGTAAAGTTCACAGGAAAAAAAATCCAGAGCATTATTTGGTACATTGGTGCATTCAATACCTTCCCTTGATGAAGCTTCAGAGCCTGGTGCATCTTAAAACGAGTGATTCTCCTTTTAACAGCATTACTTTCTATAATAAATTTTGAAGCTGGAAGGAATCCACATTTGGGCTACATTTAGGGAAATGGAAAAGAAACGAGGTATTATTATAGAATTAGAGAAGAATGAACAGAGATAACAAGTACAATACTATGGTAGAAAAAAATACTGAATAAAAACATTAAGGAACCTTTATTTCAACACATATGCACAGCTCCTCTTTAGGTGTAACTGAAAGGAAGAAAAATATGCATGTTATTATTATGATCAATTGATCAGACACAGATTGAGACAATGTCATCACTGTGATCATGACAGGCGAAGGCTATCCAATATTGCAAGAACAGAAACCTATTGCTTGGATTTGCAAAGTGAAACATAGTTACAGTACATAATACTTATACAGTACATCCTTGAGAGGGCTTGGAGTTTTAGATTAATTGCAGTAGTTGTGATTCTACAAACTACGGAGTAAATATTTAATGTTTTCACTCAAATGCAGAACATAAATTCAAACGTTTATCAACAAGTAGTATTATTTTAATGTTATACCATAATAGATACCCAGACCCAAAGGAAAGAAAAAAGGCATTATTACCATGGGGGAATATTGAATGATCAGACATCAGTAGAATAGAATCCCTCAGGAGATTGAGCTTAGCAGCATCAACCCGCCAAGTGGGGCGCTTATGAAGGACATTCTTTTCAACTGCCTCCAGAAATTCTCTGGATACAAGGATGTGAATCTGACAATACAGAGGACAGATAAGCAAATATCTTTAACCATGCGGTTAAGCACTGGAAATAAACATGCAGAGAGTGTCTAATTAATTCAGTGTCTTAGAGAGCTCCACTCTATTAATTTTGCAGTTTAGCTCAATGCATAAAGAATATTGTTACCAGTAACCAGTATAGCAAAGGGCTACAGAGACGGTCATAGTTGCATTCCAATGAAATACGCACAGAATTGGAATTGAATACAAATTTGCAGTAACATACCCCAGCATCAACATGCTCAGGACCCAAAAATGGACACATTACTTGCTGGACAAAGAAGTGCTCTGCAATCTCCCTAGTAGGGGCCGATACAAGATCTTTGACATCTTTCCAGAGATGGATTTCATGCACGGTTAAGCCTGGATGACCATTCTCATATTCACACCCATTGGTTGGAACCTTTTGTATCCTCAAAATTTTTCCAGCCTACACAGAACAAAAGGAAAAGTTGCAGCAAATCCAACAACACTCCGCATAAAATTGAAGATTGACTAAACAACAAAAGAGCAGATACTTTCAACACAAACTCATCCAACACAATTTCAAAATAAAATTTCTCCTCAAATCAGCTCAAATTCAAATGATTTTTCTGTTTTGGACAAGTAGACGAGAAACAAACGTACAAAACGAGGAGCGATTCCGCGATAAGAGAGAACCAGATTGATAGCTCCTTCGCCTCTATAAGACCATTCCATTGCGTCTTTCGCGTCTAGAACCACCGCCATTCTGCAGCCGAAATAATATGAATACATAAATGAGCGATCACGCAAATTACAAATGCAGTTAACGAGTTTTACCTAGGAATTAGGATTGGAAATGTAGATTGGAGGCTCAGGAATCGGTACGGGCTAAACCCTAGATATTCTCCTAGTCGGAGATCGGATAGACGGAAGAGTACCCCGCCGGCCGCCAGCCGTCGGTGATAACGCAGAGCGTTAGCGGCGTTAGGCTTAGGCGTTGTCGACTAGTGCGTTGCCACACTAGTAGTCGCAGCGTTGTTTGGGGTTACGTTTTTAATGCAGTTTTCCGGATCCAGTGCATGGCCAAATCGTCTGTGCGTATTAAATTACGAAAATACCCAATTTCGAATTCATTACCAAAATACTCTATTTTTTGGGTTATTTTTTTAATTTAAAATAATAATAATAATAATAATAATAATAATAATAGGTATGGAAAATGGCGCTTTTGGTCCATTAATAATACCTATATTGTAGACTTTGTCCATGAATTATTATCATACACAAATTTTCTCTTTAACTATGTTTAAAGTGACAATTATAGTTCACCACTAACAAATTATGTTAATATTAATAATGCATTTTACTTCTCAAAAATTTAATAATGCATTTTAATTTTCTAAATTAATGAGGGACACCTTAGTCATTTTTTATTTATATTATTTTGTATTAAATTAAATAAAAAATTAATTAATTGTTGAGTTTGATACACACATTTTGTTGCCATTGGAGTGTAGCTAAAAATTAACATTACACTTCAAATTCTCAAATTATTGAAAGATATATTAGTCATTTCATTGAGCTTTCTTAAATTCTCGCAACTAAATCTTCATACATATTCCCTTTCAATTCCCATGTATGGACATTTTAAATTTTATACTACATATTTCATTTCAATTCTCGTGTATACTAAATATTAGAATTGAAATTCTCAGTAATTCTATTCATGTAAATAAATCAAACACTTAAATTTAAATTCTCACTTTATTCTTACATTATCGCTCTTTCATAAAATTAAAATTCATTTCCATCATAATTCTCTCCATCCAACCAAACGTCTCGTTAAGGAAATTTGCTCATGGTTAGTAATTGATGTTAATATGTTCTAGAAATTGTTTAGCTTAGATTCATGTTATTTTATTTTAATCTCTACCCTTTATAGCTAACAAGTTAAATGGGCCGTCTTATGAGTTAGAGTCCATGTATCTTCAAAATGCATATGAGGCATGATTGACTTATGAAAACCCCCACAAATACCCAAGCCCAATTTACCTATAAACTAAAACAATTGCTACTTAATTGATTGTTTCATTTTGCAATCATGGTGGACCAAAGCCTACAATACGCATGGTAGACGCTGGTCCATGATATAATTTACGTGAGAATGTGTAAATTGCACATACGAGCTAAGGTAATGCGCGTAGTGAATTCTGATCAATGATATAATTTGTATGGAAGAGTGTTACTGCACATAAAAGATAAATCGTATTAGAGAGATCATATGTGACAGACTCGATCGAAGGGTGTTAACAAGAATCGAACTCATAACTTTTAAGTACGAGAATCATATTATGCTTTATTTACTCGGCTACCCTTTCGGAGCTAGGTAGATTCTTTCTTTGATGTTAAGTAATGTGATGTAGTGCGCTGGGTGGAGTTTTGTTAAATGGGGACAATAAGAATATATACGAATTGAAGGTGAGCAATATGGCAAATACTTCCACGAGGAGGAATAAATTCCATTTATAACTTCATTTCTTTTCATAAAGTTAGTTCTACCTTCAAACATGCCTTTAATTACGTCCACAAACAAACACCTAATTAATTAAAGCCAAACCAAACCATACCATCCCATCTCAGTTCATATATTAAATCAACCAGCCTAATTTGAGTATATTTGAGTTTGAATTTAAAATAGTTATATATAATGGTTCGAGTTTGAATTTGAGCTCAATCAAATTTAAAATTTTGGATTTATGTTCGTCCCGCTAATTTTTACAAGGATGTGTATGTGTGTGTGTGTTTATAAAGTTTGAACTCGATTCAATCAGTTTGAAGAGAACAATTTTCTTCTTAAAAAGTGATGATTGATCTGACCCATTTATTTTGGTAGATCAATAATAGCGAGTTGTTGAAAAATAAAGGAAAAAATGATGGGGTCAGTTTTAAAAATCTTACAAACTGTAAAATTTGTAATAATTATAAATTTGAAATCGTGTTTTTTTTTTTTTTACTAAAACGCTCAAGCATTGATGAATCCTAATTAACGGCTATGATCAATCCTTGCTTTTTGTGGGTTGTTCTCATTTGATCGAACCCCACCACACACACACACAAATGGAGCTAAAAAGTTTTGAGCTCCAACTCAGCTCGATTACTTAACAAGCCAACACAAGTTTGATTTTGATTGAACGTCTTATGAATAGCTGCAATCTCAAGCACCTCGACTCATTTCAGTCATTTGCATCCCTAGTCTAATATAGTTAATGGTAAGTGAATTGCTAATATAATAATTACAAAGTCAAAGAACCGACACTTTTTGAATTGTAACATGTTAAAAGAGTCTAATGTTAGTTTAGGATATTAAAAATTGGTGTGTGATATTAAAGAGTCAAGAAATTGAGATATGAACAAGTGGGCTTGATTACACAATGATTAAATATTACTCCGTATTTTGTTATCGAAATATCAAGAAAATAGAAATAGAAAAGGTTGCAACCGATGGGAGTTGGGACGACAATAATGAATTGAGATTAAGAATTTTTTGGTTGTAATTTAGGTGGCAACACCAATTGTGCTCCTATGTTGACTTTACTTTACCGACAAATAATTAAGACATGTGATTACAAAAATAAAAATTTCTCAAAAAAATAATTATAGTCTCAATACCAACAGAAATTCAAAGATATGTAATTCTCTCATTTTCATTAAAACTGATTTTCTTCCACCCAAGGGTGCGTTGAAGCATTAAAACAGTGGTAAATAACTAGAACTTTTTTTTTTTTTTTTGAAAATAAATAACTAGAACTTAAATATCTACTAATTTCAATATTTTACAAAAGTAAACTCTTTAAGTAAATTGAATACATACGAGTTCCAGTAATTTATCAACAATTTTTTTAATTATAAATTTAATTTTTCTTACATAATCAATATTGGACTTCACTAGACGTTCACTATCAAAACTTCACTAATTTCAGACATGCCAGCAGTATAATTATAAAGTGCAAATGTTAATGATAAAATAAGTAAAATGCAAAACTAAGTGGATAAAGTCAACAACTTTAATAATATATATATATCCATTATTTTGGACCCTTGGATGTATTATGTATATATAGACCACCTAATGTGAACAGGAGGTGACAAAAGGTCCCCGCCATCAACATGATTAGCTATATTCTACTGCATGCACAAAGAATTAAAAGAAAAATATTTTGGTTCCTTTTTTTTTTTTTTAATTAAATGAATAATAATATATTTTTGTTTGAAATTCGAAAAACTATAACCGAATCTATTTTACTTATGTAAAATCACAATTTTATACCTTGATTTATGAATAAATTTGCAATCGCTACCTAAAGATACGCTTTGAGTAAAGCTCACCCTGTGACTTTAGCTGACAAAAGAGCTCGATCAAAGAGATAAATCAATCTATTTTGCCCAGGTTAGTTGTTGACTTGGTAACCACAATATTACAAGTTTAACTCCCAATGCAAATGGCCTATTGGTTTTTTTTTTTTTTTTTTTTTTTTTTTTTTTGAGTCGGCCTGTAGTCAACCTAAGTTGGTTTATTTCTTCGGCTCTTTGTGATCCTTTGCCTAATAATGTAACAAGATGAAGTTTATTCATTACATATCATCAGATAGTGACTACAAATTTTTCTCGTCACCCAAAAAAAGTGAATAGGAAATCACACATTTACACTACTAAATAAAGACACCGACTTATGGTAAAATTGTGCATATATACACTTCATCATTAACTATAAACATCTGAAACACACACACGTATGTATGTATGTATTCATTTAAATAATTATTGAACTATATAAAAAAAAATGAAAAGAGAGAAACAATACCAGCTGTCTTAATATTTAATAATTATATAAGTGCTGTTTTAAAAATATATTTTGTATATCTTTTGTCTCAAAGCTTCCAACACGAGTGGATTAGGGAGAGCCGCTAGATTGTTGTTAGGCCCCAACAACACAATAATTCAAGTATACAACATTAATTTATTAAACAACATTTTATCAATTATTATAATTATATTAATAAAGTAAATTTTCCACACACTCACAGCCCCCAAACTAAAAGGAATATAATTTCTTTTGTTGCCACTAATTCATTTCCTTTTTCTTTTTAATGCAACAACAACAACAACAACAAAAAGAGAGAGATTAAATAAAATGTGATAATACTACAAAACAATATACACAATAAAATTTTTAAATAAACCGAATATCATATGATGATGAAATCTTCAAAGTATTGAAACTTCACTTACTAGTCAGTAGATACAAATATTGACTTTCATATAAATATATGGTCAAAAGATCGAAACATGTCCAATATCTACTTATGAGGTTCCAATGGCATTATTCAAAAAAAGTAAAAAAATAAAAAAAATTATGTGGTGTTTAGTTCGCAAAATAGACGTAAATGGAATAACATTTTATGAATAAGTCTATTATGATGTTTGCCTCTTTTTTTTTTAATTAAATAATCGTGAAATATAATTCAACGTAATTGACTATTCACTTTACAACCGGAATAGTCATTCTCAAATTCCCTTGTCATATTAGTTATTCATGCTTCATAAAGAATATCTAATTGTATTAAATACCAAAACTACCCTATCTATGTGTGTATATTTTATATTAATTGAAATATAATCAGTTTATTTATTATTTCAACAAAGGATGATATATTACTTAAATTTTAGCGGTTAAACTTATGTATTGAAAGCCACATATCCAAATATCTTAACAATTGCATACATATAATAGGTAATACAGTTGCTTCGCCGATGACCCTTTACCAACTCAATTCTTTAATTTCTCTTCTAACTAATACGGAATATAATTATTAATTTCTTAGCGCCATAACAACAAATTTAATCCCACTTTGGTTACAAAAAATGGCACATTTATTTATACTCATTCTTTCTACTTTCCACCATATTTATTTGTCCTATTATTATTATTATTATTATTATTATTATTATTATTATTATTATTATTATTATTATTATTATTATTATTATTATTATTATTATTATTATTATTATTATTATTATTATTATTATATGCAAGGGAGAGGAGTCGCAGGACTCATGATAATTAAAAAAAAAAAAAAAAAAAAAAAAAAAAAAAAAAAAAAAAGAAAAGAAATAGAGAAAAGTGAAAGTCACGTTGATCCATAAGTCCATGAGACAACCACCCTCAATCATAACACATAAATCCAAGAAAGGAAAGATTACCCTAAATTACCAATAAATGGATAACTTGATACCGAATATGACACCTCTAATCACACTCTAATATCCCTGATAGCTCTACTGATGATTCAATCTGGTAATAAGTTACACCACTCTTTAGTCTTTAGATAATACTATCAACTGCCAAGATCGATGATCTTCAAATCATCCGGAAGGAAATTCAGGACGTACTCAAGCCAACTCAGCCAACATTCACATGTACAGAGTATTCGATAGTCGAATATAACTCCAACCACACTCTAACATCCTGGAGTATCTCAAGTGCTAATTCAGTAGTAAATTACATTATCTTTTATCTATTGGTCTTGCGTGAGACTATCCCATTCGCAACATATAATACATACTTTTTAATGCAAATATAATACTTATATATGAACCCACAAAAAAAAATTTACATATCTTATGTAAAACGGTCTGACACAAATTTTTATATACCCCTTAATTTTTAACACAATAAATTATAATTTAAATCTTATCAGATCACTACTCACTGACATCCCGATTAAATGTATCATGAACTCATAAACTTATACCAAGCGTTACGTTAAACAAGCTAAGGATGAGAATTCATCCATCCATCTATGCATCATTGTCCAAATACAACCACATCCAAAGATGCAAAAATATGCCAAAGTCATTGCACAATAATTAAGACAAAGAAAAATGAGATAAGAGTTAATGTTCCACAAACTGCCCACTACGTGCATTGCTTGGTGAATGTAATGATGATGATGGTAACAGCCACAGCCCACAAGGATTGAAAATTTGGGAATGGCATTACAATATCAGGGCAAATTAAAGTGTCCCAAAGTATAATAAACTGACCAATCACAGCATTACAAATGTACAACTTTTTACTATGTTATCATTACCTCTATCATAGAAGTTTCCATTAGGTACATCTTTTGTCAATCATTAGATTATCAGTTATCACTGCCCCAAATAACAAAATTATAACTTTGACTAATAACATTTTTTGTGGAAAATGTTACATGTACTCTCATTTTGTACTTTTAATTTGTACTCACACACACAAAATTTTGATGTAGACATTTGTATTAGAATTCAAATGAAAAAAATAACTTATCAGAATCTGCCAAAGGAGTAAGATTGGAGAGTACATGTAGTAGAACTCATTTTTGGTGCGGAAAAATTACATTTGTTGTCACTTTTTATTTTTTGGTAAATAAACATGATTTTTGTGTAATAACTGACAAATTATATATAAGAAGTAAACTGCACTAAGAATATTATAAAACGAACTCGATTGAAAGAATGTTAACAAGATTAAAACTCGTAATCTTTTGGTACAAAAATTATACTTCACCCGCTTAGTCACCCATTTCAAGACACTATTTGTTATCACTTTTCATCCTTCAAATGCACTCGGTACAATATTGTGTCGAGTGATTAGCCCATCAACTCTATTTCTATAACAATATTAAAAAAAAAAAAAAAAATTGTCAATTGTCTTGTCGATTAACTCAATGTCTTTGCTCACAAGTAAAGCAAACAACATTTTTAAAATCTGTATGTTGAATGGTTGTTGTGGTGGCCATTGGTCATAATTAATACTCCACCTCTATATGTACTATATAAAATAAAAATAAAATTTACTCTTTTTGTTTTACCTAACTTAATTACTCAGATGAGATTTTTACTGTGCAAATTAAATCAATATCGTACCTATTGCACCTATGATGATGAGTGATCAGTAGTGAACTTTCTCTCTCTAAATGTAACTATTGAATTTATTTTTATTTTTTAAATTACTTTAAAATTTTAATTTGATGTCTGAAGTCGTCTAGTACCAATGATCTTGTAGTCTAGTGACACTAAATGACTCTCCCAAATGGAAGGTCAAGGGTTTGAATCTTCTTTATGTTTCAGTAGATTGAGAAAGTAGTTATGAACAGATACTACATTATAATATATGTGTTACAATACTCGAAAGAAGAAGAAAAAGCATATACTCCGGTTTTGAATAGGAAATAGAATAATATTATTTGGGTCCATTTGAAGAGAAAATAAAGAGAAAACAGGGCAAAACTAGCCCTGTCGGTACATACTTCATAGACATAATATACGAAGTCCTAAAAGCTAAAATGGGTAAGATATTTTTTTACAATAATTAAAGAAATAATAATAATAATTCAGCGATATTCAAGGTTTGGAGGTTGGTTCATCTTAGCCGCTCTCAACTTTGAAAAATTCTTGATTTTTACGGATGAATTTCTCGATTCGAAGCCGGAATTCCTCGCTGCTGAGGTCTTCGACGGTGTCGATAGTCGGCATTGCTCGCGGTTCGCCGGAACCGGCGGCTTTGCGGTGCATCTCCGTCTCTGATCGCCGGAGCACTCCCTGCGGCTTCAACGCGATCGCTCGCTTCAGCTTCTCCGACTGTGTCCTCTGGAACTTCTCGATTTGCTTCGTGGCCGTTTTCATCGCGGTTGAAAGCTCGGTGCATTGCGGCTTCTGAACCACGCTCTCCGAGCAGACTATCTGCTTCGTTTCGTCTCCGGCCGCCTCCGGCTGAGGCGGAGGAGTGGAGGCTTCGGAGGAGACGACCGGCGGTTGAGTTTCGCCTCCACCGATTTCTTCGCCGTCATCCTCGCCGCAAAAATCGGAGACAACAGAGCTGCAACCGGCGTCCGTTTGGCGACAGAGCACGACTAGCGCGACGATAATGGCGTTGCCGATGACGAACACGACGTGAGGATTGCAGACGTAAACCCACAACTCAACCAGAAACTCGCCGGAGAACTTCATAACCCCCGGAACTCGAGTACAGGACCAGGAAACCAACATCAGAGCGACGATCACTTCCAAAAACTGCAACGACGTCGTCATCCTCCGAAACCGATTAAACCTCGCGATCGCTTTCGCCTTCTCCAATTTCACGGTATCAAACACTTCAAAATCCATTTCTTCCACAACGCGAAAATGCAGGAAATAAACCGAATCAAACCGAACCGTCCTGAGTAAAAATTCAAAAAACTCTCCTCCTCGGTTCACACTTCACAAGCGATCAACACCGGGACTTTTCCGACGGCGAAGGAGGTTCCCAGAACTTGAAAGAAAAACCGCCGGGAGGAATTTTCGCCGGAAAATTAAAGATGAAAAAAGTTGTATGCAAGGAACTGCATAGAGATACAGAATCAGAGTTCATATACATAGAAAAATGCACGCAGTAATACACCGCCGGAAACACGCAGTACGTGGAAGTTGAGGAGAAAATGACGGTTTTGTTTATTCACAGAGGTTCTGAGAAACTTGGAAAGTTTTCTTCCAATGGATGAGATGAACTCCGGAGTGGTATCAGATGAATATATAGGCGTGGGGCAGTGTTGGAATTATATTTTTTATAATTTATTTTTTTCGTATTTTGAAAATTTCTTGGAATTATGAGAAAAATAATTTGTAGATAATTGTAGTCCGAAAGTTGGTAAGTGGACCAGTGCGACCTAGTCCGATCAAGTTTTTATTCTTTAATTTCAAGAAAAAATAGCAAAAAATAAAAATAAAAATTGCATTCCCTTAATTGATGTTAATATTATTCCCCTTTTGATTTTTTATGAGGTAATGATTTAGTCCTAATTTTCACGATGTGACGATTTTGACTTTTGATTTATTGACCTATTAAATGAAATTTTAATGATTTAAAATAAAAAATTTCAATTTTATGCTTATAAATGTTTCACACTTTGCATTGCAAAAGTGATAGATTTTAATGATCCTGTTGGTGAGAGACAAAATTCGCCACCTTCTAAAATATTAAAGTGTTGATAATAGTCATCGATAATCAAAGGATAAATATTTATTATTATTTTATATAAATACTAAAAAGGCTATTTTTTCTTTTCTTTTTCTTTTAGGTGGATTTAATTTTCTTTTCTTTTCTACTTTTTCCCCTTTAGTTTACATTTCATGAGAAAAATGAATGCAAGAAACAAATAAACATTGTGTTGATCGATGTACTTCGAACCCGTCGTACAAGATTTTCTTAGTACGATTTGTCGATTATTGCATATGAGAGAAATTTATCTAATATATACTTGTATATTGTAATCGTGAATTTTTCTCATCACTCAAAAAACTGTGTTGATGATAAAATATATAAAATAATATTAAATGTGTACAAATCATTTATTTCGACTCCAAACCTTCAAGATACATTCATCGTTCATGTACATTTTTATACATGATTGATAGAAACATAACTCATCACGAATCTAATTTTCGGGGCCTTGTGCAATGGTTTTGATAGCACATACCCAGCCACCAAGTTGTCGAGGATTTGTATTGCATTGTTCTTATTACTTTAATTTTTACAATTTTTTTAAATTATAAACATGTAAATTAAATGTTACTAATTTAATTTTTTTTTCTATTAACAACTTTTCGGAAATGAGGAATTAAGTGAAAATGAGGACAACAAATGGATTTAAAAAATAAAAAATAAATAAAAAAAAAAGAAGCCACATTGGTATATTCTTGACTTGCACATTTGTTTAATTTTCTGTTATAGATTAACACCATTCCTAACTAAAGGACGAAAGAATGGTAATTTTGAATAGAAGACATGTGACGTCTAATTAGTCCTTCCGTTTGCGAGGAAGACCATTCTCAAAATGGCAAAGAATTTGAATAAAAATCGAATAAAAAGACACAAAAATAAAATCCGAAGTCATGGTGTGCTTGGGCTCTTTGCGGCACCAGGCATTATTATATCTGGCGTTATTCGACGTCATAGAAATTCTCACATAAGTTTTGTGATAAATTTCTTGTGACACTAAACATTGATTCTCTCACCTAATAGGTCGCTGAGTCACCGTGATATATCATTTCACTATCCTATCAAGACAGGGTCTAGGGTGGGAGCAAGAGAATTGAATTTGTAGGTATTATTTAGTTTTGTTAATTAATCTACATCATACTAAAGTGATAGTTGTTGTTGGCCGCCATGGTTGTTCAAAGATGCCGCGAGGGGACACGTTGAAGACTGAATAGACAAGAGAGCAAAGGCAGCCATGTCCAAACCAAACTCTGGAATTTTGTCTATTTCTTTATACTTAATTTTGCTGCATATAAATTTACAAATTGGTCAACTCCGGTAAGACTATAATTTTGTTTTATTATTATTATAATATTATTATAGGTAAAAAAAAATTTCAATTGTTAACCATAACGATTGTCAATTGTTGTGTATGTGTCATATGTACAGAAGGATGATAAGTGTTGGATTTCACTCCGCTTTCGTTTGTCTAACACTTATCTAGATTATGTTTTTCCTCTTTTGTTGGATACCGCAAAGTGGGTCAGGGTAAGGGGGTCCGAGTATAGTATAGGGGTAGTTTTGGACATGTATATCTTGTTTACGATTAAGTTGCATATAACATTAATGTTCTGCCATCAAAATTAATAA